CATACACATAAAATTAAAATAATAAATAAAATATTTTTAAAACCTCGTTCAATTTTCTGTCTTATAGGGTTTATACTGAGTACAATATCATATAACTGTATTAATTCAACTGTGAACCTAAAAATTTACAGCCAATTTTGAAAGAGATGCATCTTTGCTGTGGAAATTGTTACTGAATATGTTAATACTGTAATGAAATGCTTCTTCTAATCATATGGTTGTTAAATAAATAATTTTTAAAAATTATTTCAAAAAATATTGTCTTCTAAAAAAAATTAATCTGTCAGGAGAGATGGGTAATGGAGATCTAACCATGTCAGCCTTTCCATGCAGGCTTTTCCTTTGGAAATAAATATTCCTGCTTAAGAGAAAAAATAATTTGATTGCTCAATGTGCCATGTGAAAATAGAAACCCTTCATTATATTAAACATTGTGGTGTTGATTCATGCCAAGAAGTTTGCTGATATGAAGCGGGTTATAAAGAAACAAGAAAATATTAAGAAAATGAAGCAGCTTCAAGAGACAGGCTAGACCTCAGCACTCCAGAAAGAAATGCACATTGACAAAGGCATGTCACCCTAAGTGCAACTTGGCTTGTAAGGGTAGTTATCTGATATATACATCTAAATATTGTGTGCCAAGATGTCCAACATGGTGCCACAATGACTCATCAGTTTTATTTTGGAGTCCTCCTCTTCTCTTCGTCCACATCTGTCATTTTTCACCTAATGTGGTGCTCACAGCTTAGATGCCTCCCACTCTACACCCCACTATCCCTGATTATGGCCATCTTTCTTTCCTCCACTCATTCCATTTAGTGTCTGTCCCCTGTTTTAAGAGGGTCCACTATAGATCCATGAAGTTGTAAAAAAAAAAAAAAAAAGGAAAGAAATGGGTAGAATCCTTATTAAATATCAAAAAAAGGACCTTTGGATTGTTCATAAATCAATAATTTCAATCATAAGGGTAACTATTTTATTCTATACATTTTTAATAATTTTATTGATTGCAGAATTTCATACAGTGTATTTTGAGCACATTCAGACCCTCCTCCACTTCCCCCTATATCTCCTATATCCTTCTCTCCTATATCTATTCCCCCATTCTGTGTCCTTTATTGCTATTTTCATTTATCCTTTCATTTACATATTTATTTATTTACTTTTTGGCCAACCAATTCCAATCTGTGCCTCCAAGTGCTCCTGGGTATTCATGGGAGGGAAGATAAAATGCAGCAATATAAATAGAAAAGGGCAATACTAGGTTTAAATGGGGTGGGGAATGGGGGGCAAGGCAGAGGAGGGAATCAGAGGAGAAATAACTGACACTAAAGGTCTTTTGAAAGAGTCATGTGGAAACCCACTATGGAAGCTTCTCTCAATATATACATATACAATATAAAGAGTTTGAAGTTAGCTACCCTATAACAGGGGTTCAGTGCTCTTAATAAACTAGCAAATGAAAAGCCCAGTGCCATGAATGGAGTTGTTGACCAAAGAGATCCCATCTATCCTCAGACAATATTGGCTATTACCGTGGCACTTGGTTATTCTATATTTTTTACTCTACCAAGAAGTTTCTGATGTTTTCAGAAATTCTCATCCTTCTTCATTTTTGTTTGTGAGTCATGACTAAGTGTAAGGATTTTGTCCTTTCATTGTTTAAAACTCCACAGTCATCTTCCCTTTACACCGGAACCAATCTCCAAACTCTCCGTTCTGACTTTTGGATTTACTACCTGTTGTGGTTTGAATGGCAGATGCCCCCCATGGGCTCATGGACTTAAACACTTGGTTGCTACTTGGTGACAGTGTTTAGGGAGGTTATGGAACCTTTAAGAGGTGGAGCCTTGCTGGGAGAAGTATATCACTTTGGGTGGGTTTTGAGGGTTTATATCCTCTCCACTTCCTCTGTGTGGATGGAAATGTAATCCACCAGCTTCCTGCTCCTGCCGCCATGTTTCTCTTGCCTGTTTCCATTCCTACCCCACAAAGGATGGACTCTCCCTCTGGAACCATGAGCCAAAATAAACCCTTCCCCCTCCTAAGTTGCTTTTATCACAGCAACAGAAAAGTAACTAATATACTGCCTTCTGAGCTCGGCTAGTGCCACTCTGCCTTTATTTATTCTGCCCCCAGTCCCTGGTGGCTTTTCAGTTACTTGAAGGTTCGCCTAAGTGTGTGCCTCAGTGCCCTTGTACATGCTGTTCCATTTGCCTGACATACTATTTTTCCCACCCTTCTTGTGCCTGGCCCCTGTCTCATCTTTCACGTCACCTCCATGGAGGAATTTTTCCTTATGATCCTAGTCTAGAATAACTCCTCATTTTATTCATTTTCTAGCTACTTTTTACATAATAATTACAATCATCTACAAATTTTTTATAGCTTGTTTTTAAATTCTTTTCTATTTCTCTTCCACTAGAGTGGTACTTATTCCTTTCATGAAGTACTTATTTAGGCAAGTGTTTACTAGGCTGTCACATGAAAGAAAGAGGCTGGATTTTTTTATTTTTAAGAATTTTTTTATTATTTTTATTTTATGTGTATGAGTGTTATGCCTGCATGTAGGTAAGTACACCCATGTCGTGCAATGCCTGTGGAGGACAGAAGATGCTGTTGGATCCTCTGGAACTCGAGTTACGGACAGTTGTTAGCTGCTATGTGGGTGCTGGGATTTGAACCCGGGTCTTCTGCAAGAACAGTCAGTGTTCTTAACCACTGAACCATCTCTCCAGCCCCTGGATTTTTTAATTTTTTAATTAACATGTATTAATTGTTCAAAAATATTGGGGTTTTTTATGATCCAGATACTAAAATTAACTGGCAAAGATTTTAAAGAAGCTATTGTAAATATTCAGAGTTAAAGGGGAAATGTCTGTATTAAATTATCACATAAGGAAATACCAGTGAAATGTGAACTATAAAATCATTTTGACCACTATTCTGTTCCTCACTCCTATAAGATCAGCCTTAAGCTTCCACATATAAGTGAAAACAGGTCATGTTTACTTTTCTTTGACTAATTTATGTCAGTCCTCCAGGTTCATACATGTTGCTGTAAATGACTTAAATCCATTTTTTTCTTTATGGCCACATAATATTCTGTTAGCAAAATACTCTTTTAAAGGGAAAACAAAATAAAGATACTTTGGATTAATGAAAGATACAAAATGCTAAAAGAAGTTCTTCAGACAAAAAGGCACTAATTCTAGAAGGAAATTTGGATTTCCAAAAATAATGACCATATGGAAAGAGGGTTCTACAGGCTCCTGGGACCTTGTTCATATGAACCTATAGCAATGCTGACAGCTTGCATAAGACTCATGCAAACTCAAGCAGACAAAAGCCCAGCACAGAACTATGGAATAGGCAGCAGGCCCCAATCTTAGTCGAAGAACTCTTGGCAGCTGATTACTGCATGGTGAAAAAGAGCTGATCTTAAAGGAAGGGATTCTAGATAGGCTGACTAGACCTCGGGGATGAACTTGCACTGAGGGACGTCTGGGGACACTAACTTGACTCAATAGACCTTAACACAAATGATAAAATGAATGAATTCCAATGGGGGGCTATGGGAGGGTGCCATGGGGAAGGGGGTATAAAGATGGCTACCATGTTGTGTATGAAGTATACAAAAAGTCAATAAAAAATTTACCAAAAATAAAATCAATTTAGGTGGGGCTGAAGAGATAGCTCAGTGGTTAAGAGCACTGGCTGCTTTTGCAGAGGACCTGGGTTCTGTTCCCAGCCCCAAACAGCTAACAACCATCCATAACTCCAGTTCCAGGGAATCCAACGCCCTCTTCTGACCTCTGTGGGCATTGTACAACATGGGTACACTTACATACATGCTTGCAAAACACTCATACACATAAAATGTTTAAAATGATAACTAAAATATTACTATTATTTTATAAATAATAATGAAAATCATTAGAAAACACAAATATGTAATTAAATGTAAAACACTGATTTTTTCCCCTTTATTTTTAAAAAAGACTAGGGCTTGGAGACATGGCTCAGCAGTTAGGAGTACTGGTTGCTCTTTAAGAGGACCCAGGTTCAATTCCCAACACCCACATGATGGGTAATAACTATCCATAACTTCCAGTTCCAGGGAAATTCAATGCCCTCTTCTGATCTCCGTGGGCATTGCATGACATGGGTATACTTACACACATGCAGGCAATACACTCATGGACATAAAATAAAAAATAATAAATGAAATATTTTTTTAATTT